CCTCGGACATGGCGCACTCTGCCTCGACCATCGCCTCGAGACACTGTTCTGCGTCGGTTTCGGGTTCAGAACGAGCATTCAACAAGGCATCTTGAGCCACGCTTTCCATATCCAACGTTGTGTGCCATTCTGTGAAATCTCCTGCAGCCTCTCCGACCTCTTCTTTGACTTGCTCCTGGATCGGTTTGCCCCAAACGGCGTGTGAAGCTGTCGTGCTCGACTCGGTGTGATGAATGGTTTGGGTCACATCGTTTCGACCTCCCCGAGCATACCTAGCCTTGAGCCTGAAGCTCATGGTTGCAGTGACTCCGAGCGAAAGGGAAGCGACAACAGGTCCCAAACCAGGTTCCCCATCGTCGTGATAGTTCATTTGCTGGCTTTCAACGTATCGAACGGGGTACAGCTCATTGAAAGGTTCTTGCTTGCTGCAGAGGTTGGCAGCGCGCACCCGAGCTTCTATTAATGTCATTGCAAGTTTGGCGCTCTCCGGCGCTTGCTCCATAGGGGTCGTGTCTAGCTTCACGGCGTGCTGTCCGTCGCACGGTGGGCTGGAAGCATTAAGCTCGAGAACAAGCTGATTGTGAGTGTCTACAGCGCAAAGATACTCACCTTGTATTCTGCGCCGTAGTTAAATGTGAACTGGGCCGATTGCACGTGTGCAGCGTCAGCCTCTGCGACCCGCTTGCGCTTTAGCGATCAGCGTGTGTGCTCACCTGCTGGCTCAGCAGGGTGCTCTTCATCGAATGGCAAGTCAGAGGATGTCTGCGGAATCGTATCACATCCTTCCAACTTTTTTCATCGTTCACTCCTGTCGAAGCGATGGATCGCTGAGAAAGCATGTAGATCTCATCGGCCTCTACTTCGGCGCCATCTTCGCGCTGTACGACGTGTATTCTACCGCCGCCCAGACACATCGGTAAAGCCCAGGTAGTGATTTGAAGCCCTTCTTCAGTGCGTCGGGTGCTGGTCTCTATACCAGCATGGGAATGCACCTTTGCATCTTCGATCAAAGGCGTGAGCGCAC